CAGTGCCACTCAGCTTTCCCACACCCTGAGACAGAGCCTTGGTGAGCCCAGCGGGCAGTGACACCAGGGGCAGGGGTGAGAAGCAAGGCCGATGGCTGGAATGGGGCGCTGCGGCTGCCCCAGGGGCATCTGCCAGGTGGAAGGCGGGCCCTGCCCGGCAACCACCAGGCTCCCTGCGGCTCTGCTGGGCTCCCGTCCACCAGTCTCTCACCAGCAGCACAGCCCTGGGGACGCTTCGTGCGAGGGCTCCCTGCAGACCCTCCAAGCAAGACACGTGAGAAATGACGTGTCACCACCAAGTGTGCAGACACATGGGGCTCGTTCCACGAGGGCTCCGCATGGACCTCCCTGGTGGTCCAGTGGTTGAGACCCCGCCTGCCAATGTAGGGGACACGGGTTCAACCCCTGGTCAGGGACGACCCCACAGGCCGCAGGGCAGCTAAGCCCCCGCATGCCCTGCTCTCTGCAACGAGAGAAAGCCCGTGTGCAGCAACAGAGACACAGTGAAGTCAAAAATAAATAATTTTTAAAAAGAAGAGAGAGAGAGAGCGCGCTCTACATGGCCGCGGCTCTCCTTGAAGGGGTCAGCACACCCACCCAGGCCCACCCGCCGCACACCCTGCCGCTGCTCCAGGACGGGCAGGCGGGGTCACGCCGCTCCTGCCGCGGTGCCTCCGCACGTGCCATTCTCCTCCCAGGACACGACCTTCCCTGGCTCCTACTTGGAAAGCTCCTACGCACCCTCCCAAGCCACCTGCCTGGCCCTCGGCGCCCCCAGCGCCAGCCTGACACAGCACAGACTATCTTCTCCATCTCATCCTGGGCTCAGGGCCCGGCCCACACCAGACAGCAAATGCAGCAGGGCCTGGAGGTCTCCCGGCGGGAAGCGTCCAGCTCACGGCTGGCTGAAAGAGGCTGGGTCACAGCAACATCTCTCAGGACCAGCGAAAAGCAGTTAGAGTCCAGGTGTCCATGAAGAGGCGATACTCACAAATCTCCACACCACGGATTATCACTTGGCAACAAAAGTACAGCTGAGACCAGTGACAGCGCGAAGGACTTCTACGGCAGAGCTGAGCGAGCAGGTCACAGAAGACCACATGCTGTGCCTCCGTCCCATCTCTACAAAAACGGCCCAGCAGGCAGATGTGCAGACACAGGCCGTAAAGCAGTCAGTGCCCAGGGCTGGGGTGGGAACAAGGAGCCACCGAGCACCAGGTTTCTTTGGGGTGACCACAATGTTCTCAAACTAAACTGTGGTGATGGTCATGCTACTCTGTAATTTTACTAAAAATTACTTAATTGTACACCAAATGCAAGTAAACTTTATGGTATGTAAATTACACCCCCATGAGGCTGTTAAAAGTTCAGCCTGGGTGTTCTCATGATCTGATTTGACAGCCAGCCACCACGACATCCTCCCCAGAGGCAAACTGCCAAGGGACGGTCATCAACACTCAGTTCAGATACCCACAGAGGTGGCAACCACAGGACTGGGTCCCCTTCACTTGAGCATGAGGCCTGCGGGCAAAGCCACTGGGCCTGAAAGGCCCTGTCTGCACAGCAAACCCTAGGCACAGCCCAAGAGCGCCAAGCCCATCACACTCTGGAGTAAGTGACCCGTCTAGGAGCTGATCTTCTTCGGCCAGGAGAGCCAGGAAACCCTACCCTGCACCTCACCCGCCTCCTCTGCCTCCAGGGAGGAACAGGAGGCGCCGACGTCAAGGCTGGGAGCTGCCCCAGTCAGGGGCTGGCGGGGTGCACGGGCCCCGCCCTGGCGGGCAGGTCCCTGCAAACTTCACCCTGTGCCCCACCAGGCAGAAGCGAAGGGAGTGTGTTTCCTCTCCTGCATTCCCAGATGCTTGCTGGGAAGCTTCTGGAGTAGTTCTGTCGGGTAAAACAGAAACCTCGCTATCGACCGCTCCTAGATGCCCGCCACTGCCAGTGAAGGACGGAGGAAAAGGCGCCTCAAACCACCACGCTCTGTTGGGTGGGTCCCTCGCTGCCCCAGCTCACGCAGCTTCTGCTCTAGGCAAGGAGGGTGCCAGCCTGTCAGCTACTGTCCAGAAAGGACAGAGCCAAGGACCACAGAAGTGACCCACACAAGAAGTCACGGCCCTTTTCAAGTTAGAAATTACTTTCGTAAAAAGAGAGGGACAAAGCTACCACGCACCGACTTCAACGGCCGGCTCAACGCCAAGCAGAGGAAACGCACAGGAAGACAGCGGATGTGAGCTGCCTGGCACAAAGCTCTCCGCAAGTGAGCCCAGCAAAGCCCAGCAGCAAGTCATAACATGCTGGCTTCATTTCTAGCTCCCCGAGCAGGTTTCCTGCAGGCCTCCCTTTCCTCACCCACGGCAGGGAGAGCTGAAGATAAGGCTGCCAGCGTTACTCAGCAAGGCCCTGCAGTGACGGGGAAGATGCAAGCTCACAGAACCGTCTGTCAGCCTCTCCTGTGGTCAGGACGGCGTGCAGAAGAGGAGGAGGGCGCCCTATTCGCCGCTCCAGTTGCGTCCACACTTTGTCACTCAAGATGAATGAAGGCAAAGAAAATCCTTCTTTTGAAAAGAACAAAAAACAGGAAAAACATGAAAACTCTATTCCAAACAACCTGGTTGAGAGCGAATGGTGTGAATTAACAAAAATATCAAGAAACAGTAAAACACACACACACAAATCCTCGATTCTTCCAGGCTGCAACCTGGCCAACTGCAGCCCCAGCACTGAGCGCGCAAAAGGTGTCAGCAGGAGCCAGACCGCTTCACCTGCCTCTGGTCAGCTCTTCTCAGAAGGGTGCCGGGGGAGCGGCAGGTGGAGCAGGGTGGGAGGCAAGGGGTCTGCACTGCTCATGTCCCCCGTGGCTGTGAAATCCGGGCCTCGGCAACCTCCTACATCACAGCAGATGGTCAATAAACTCATGGGAGGGACAAGGGGACACCCCGGCCCTCCCAGCTCTAGAGTCCTAGGACACCCACCCTGGAAACACGTTTTCAGGAAGATCAGAACCTAACGACTGAGATTATTCCGCCTTCTTTTTTTTAAGGAGCAGGGGGTTCACAGCTAAGGAGATGTGAAAGAATTCATGATTCACCAAATCCGACCCACAGTCCATCAAGTTTAAAAAGACACACACACAAGAGATAAGCAAACTCCATCCTAACCTCTCTCTGGAGAGCTCAAGTCACTTTAGAGCTGCCTACTTTATAGCCAGGTGGCAACGAGGGCTCCTTCCCTCCGCAGAGACCACAGAGGCAGCAGCTCCAAGACGGTCCCTTTCAAAACTGTCTTCCTCCAACACAGGCACCGGCCACCAAGTGCAAAGAAATAAGTGCTCTGCTGACCTTGCCCAGATGACCACCTGGTTGCATAGTCTTGACAAGGGCCTCAAGAACAGCTGCGGTAAATTTCTGGTTGCTCACAATGATAACAATAAAGTCCATAAAGCACAGACCTCGGGCAGTTAGAAAAAACAGACTGCCAGTCAGTTTCCAGGGACAGAGTACCTGCTTCCTACAGACACAAGCACAGAATAACAGGCAGAATACGATCAGTTGCCTCCTCAGTAACCCCACTGATCAGGCTGGTCCCTCTGATACGAAGGCCTGCGAATTCAACTCAGCCAATCAGTAGTCTACTCCTCTGAAACCGACTTGCAGGAGGCCAAGTGGCCTCCAACACCATCTCTCCTGATAAAGGCAGAAAACAAGCACCCACCATTCAGAATAAACACAGCTGTCTGCCCTCCTGTGAACACCTCTACTTACACCCACCAGTGCCAGGCACTGTGCTACACGCTTTGCTCTGTCACCTCAGCATACCCTTCCACAGTGCCAGGTGACAAGGACCACGACTCCCACTTTACAGATGACTTTTTAAAAGGTCTGGAGAAGAAGTGACCACCTAAAGTCACACAGCTATTGAGCAGCGAGGCTGGGATGGGAGTCCCACCTCTGCAAGAAACCAGCTGAGCTGCCTCGCCCCACAGTGCCATGCCAGGTCCTGGCCCCTGCGCTCTGGCTCCAGGTCATCCCCGACACACTCAGCACCTGTCTTTGGCCTTCCGATTCCTCCCACGCGCTGTCTAGTCGCCCCTGGTCTCCCCCTTCACTAGACTGCAGCCAACCTGCCGGCTGGGAAGGGTCTCACTCATCTCATGCTGACTGTCCTGCCAGCACCCTTCACTCTGCCTGTGCCAGCAAGGGCCCGACAGACACTGACATGAAACGTATATGGGACCTTTCATCTCCCTTCCAGGATTTCGGTGTCCAGACAAGCCTTCCACCCACCCCGGCCAACAACACGGCAAGCACTCCATCACTCCCACCCCGAGGCCCTAGAGTAACTACCCTGACTCCAGAGGAGCGCTGTGCACGTTCGAGCCAGGCTGACGAAGGACCGCCCAACTGGGTGAGAAGTGCCTGTCCTTCTCCATCCTCAAAAAGTAAAAAGAAAAAAAAAAAACCAGAAAGAAAAGAAGAAAAAAGGACCGAGGCAGGTAGAATAACTTGTGGAGAACGACGTGACGTTGCGCACGTTGATCTAACCTCCAGCAAGCCCAACACACGCCGAGGGAGGGAGAGCCCAGCCCGGGCCCGGTGCTGATGCTTCCTTCCTACCCCGCCCTGCGGCGGCCGCCCGCGGAAGCGCCGAGCGCACCCTGCCCGCCGACCTCGCCCGGCGGACGCTGGCAGAGTTGGGTTGTTTTGCTCCTTTTCTCTCCTTTTAAAGGGACTGTCCTCTGCCGGCATCAATGTTATTTATTGCAGAAGCAAGTTCCCCGCGCGGACCGGCGAGCAGCCCCGGTCCGACATCCCCCGCCGCCCGACAACCAACAGCGAGGTGTGGCCGCCGGCCCCGGTCCGGCTCCCGGGACGCGGCGCTCCGCGCGAGTGCTCGATTGCAGGCCGGACGCGGGCCCGCTCCCGGCCCGGCCCCGAACCCGCTCCAGGGAGCCCCGGCCCCGGGCCCGACCCGGGGACGCCCCTCGCCCGCCCGTTAGGATGTCCTTGACCGGTGCCGCCCGCGGCGCGCACCGCGGCCCGGCCCGCCCGCCCCGCCGCCGGACTCACCCCATGAGCCAGTCCATGGCTACGCGGGGCCCGCCGCGCCCGCCGCCCGACTTGCTCGGCCCTCAGCCCGCGGCTGCGGCGGCCGGAAGTAAACACTCTCTTACTCACTCCCACACGCGCGCCGCGGGCGCCGCCGGAAGTGACGCTAGCGCGCCGCCTGCTGGGAACGGTAGTCCCGACTGCCACTGCGGCCCCGCCCTCCGGGCCCTCAGGAGCCCGCGCAGGAATATTCCCTACGCCCTGGGATGTCCCTTCACACCCCGCTTGTGCCGTCACACTCCAGATATCCCCTCACACCTCGGATGTCTCCTCACAACCATGGATGTCCCCTCATACCCTGGATGTCGCCTCACACCCACTGTCCCGTCACACCCCGGATGTTCCCTCACACCCCGGAATGTCCCCTCACACCCCCGGATGTCCCCTCACACCCCGGATGTCCCCTCACACCGGCTGTCCCCTCATACCCCAGATGTCCCCTCACACCCCGGATGTCCCCTCACACCTGCTGTCCCCTCAAACGCCAGATGTCGCCTCACACCCGGATGTCCTCTCATACTGGCTGTCCCCTCACACCCCGGCTGTCCCCTCACACCCCAGATGTCGCCTCACACCCCGGATGTCCTCTCATACTGGCTGTCCCCTCACACCCCCGGATGTCCCCTCACACCCCGGATGTCCCCTCACACCGGCTCTCCTTTCACACCGGCTGTCCCCTCACACCCCAGATGTCCCCTCACACCCAGTGTCCCCTCACACCCCGGATGTCCCCTCACACCGGCTGTCCCCTCATACCCCAGATGTCCCCTCACACCCCGGATGTCCCCTCACACCTGCTGTCCCCTCACACCCCAGATGTCGCCTCACACCCCGGATGTCTTCTCATACTGGCTGTCCCCTCACACCCCGGATGTCCCCTCACACCTGCTGTCCCCTCACACCCTGGATGTCCCCTCACACCAGCTGTCCTTTCACACCTGCTGTCCCCTCACACCCCAGATATCCCCTCACACCCCGCATATCCCCTCACACCCGCTGTCCCCTCCCACCCCCGGATGTCCCCTCACACCTGCTGTCCCCTTACACCCCCGGATGCCCCCTCACACTGGCTGTCCCCTCACACCCCAGATGTTCCCCCAGAGGCTGTGTCCATCTTCCTGCCCCAAGACCAGCTATCCTATGTCCCTGTGGCGGTCTGGGCTTCGGGTCCCTGCTCTTCCACTGACTGGATGACCTGGGGAAGTTGTTTACCGCCCTTGTGACTCAGGTGGTTTATTTGTGGAATGGGAATGACAGTGTCCTAAAAATCTTGAGGTCACAGGTGGAGGCTGAAGATGGGGAAGCCGGGAGCTGTGACTTGGCATATTGAGAGTGTGACCCTCCTGCTCAGGCAACTCACCTGTGCTCGAGGCCCACCCCTTCCCCTTGATCGTGGTTTATTCTTGGGTGCACCCCACTGTATGGCTTTGTGTCACCCAATCTGTAATGGGCCGTTCAGATCACATAGTCGTGAAGTGTCCTGTGGTCTTACGCATGGTCTGAAGTGGAGCCCAGTGGCAAGTCAAAACTCGCATCTCAAAGAATCGTGACTTATTTCGTAAGAGGATGTGGCTTTGCTCCAAGAACCTGGGGCCCTCCTATCTCTTTCACTCATGACAGCTCCACATCTCCACCAAGCACCACTGGATTTAGTGAGGCATAAGTGCCAAGTGGTAGAACTGCTTACTGCAGCCTCAGCGAAATAGTCTTCTCAATTTGGGGCACATTCAAAGTGGGCAAACCCTTAGGTCTCTTACTAATTAGATAAGAATAGCACATTCAAGGCTTCCCAGGTGGTTCAGTGGTAAAGAATCCACCTGCCAATGCAGGAGACACAGGAGAAAGCAGGTTTGATCCCTGGGTCAGGTAGATCCCCCGGAGGAGGAAATGGCAACCCACTCCAGTATTCTTGCCTGGAAAATCCCATGGATGGAGGAGCCTGGTGGGCTACAGTTCATGAGGTCGCAAAGAATCGGACACGACCGAGCAGGCACACAATGAGCTCAGCACACTCAATGAACTCTGGTCAGAGATGATGTTACCTGCCCAATGTCATATCCTTTTCTTCTCCTTTCCTTTTTTCTGTTCCTTCATTTTCCTCCTTCTACTCCTTTATCCCAGCTTTCCATGTAGACAGAGTGGCCAATGAAATGTAAGTGGAAGTTGTTAGGTGGCTTGCAGGGTATCCTTTAATCCTTCCATCCCACCCAACCCTGGCCCAGTCTCCTGGTTCCTGCCAATAATAGGAAGACAATGGCTAGAACTTCTGCAGCCATCTTGGACCATGAGGCATGCTGATGATGGTAGAGCAGAAAGATGGAAAGGATTTGAGTTCCTGCTGAAACTTTGAGACCTCCACAGCAGTCTTGCACTTCTTACTTCTGGACTTTTTTTTCCCCACACTGTGTGGTTTGTGGGATTTTAGTTTCCCTCCAGGAATTGAACCCAGGCCCTTGGCAATGAAAGCATGAAGTCCTAACCACTGGACCAGCAGGGAATTCCCTGGACTTCTTTTAACTGAAAAGATCTTATGTTGCTGTTCTTTCCAGTTTAGACAGTTGCCTGATTGATATTCCCATCAAAATATGTGTACTCTTCCAGTGTTGGGGTGCTCAGGTGTAAAAACTTGTCCTTCACATTGGAGGGGACGTCTTGGCACTTCCAGATAATTGAAGCCCCCCAAAGGTACAGTCACCTAGGTGTGGCAAGTTCCTAAATTTTCATGAGATCTATCCCTTCAGCATGCACGTGTGTTATTTTAGCATCTAGAATGTCCCAGAGTGCTGGGCTCTGCAGTCTCTCAAGGGGACATCATCCGTGTGATGGCATGGTGAGACCTCCTGAGATGATCAGACTCTGCATGGACTAAACCACAGTGGGGGGCAGCAGAGCTGGTGGGACCCTGAAGTGAGGTGGTGGGGGTGCACCCCTCATACTGGCAGATGGGGTCTTTGCAAATGAAATTAGTTAAGATAAGGTTACAAGTGTGGGCCCTAATCCAGGATGACTGGTGTCCTTATAAACAAAGGATATTTGGACACACTCAGGCGCACAGGAGAATGTCACGTGAACATGAAGGCAGAGATCAGGACTCTCAGCGCCAGGCCCTGCTGGGCAGTGGGGCCACAGGCAGCCCCCTGATGAAGGAGGACAAGTGTGAATGGCTGCTCAGCAATGGGGGGATTTGAGTGAGGCCCTGCACCTAGATGGAGAAGGGAAGGGCAACCCACACCAGTATTCTTGCCTGGAGAATGCCTTGGATGGAGGAGGCTGGCCGGCATACTGTCCATGGGGTCGCACAGAGCTGGACACCACTGAAGCGATTTAGAACAACTGCACCCAAGACTGGGGGATCCATGGATGGACATGGAACACATTGGCACCAGGGCAGGGGCACCTTCCAGGAAGAGAGAAGCAGTGGCTGGCGGAGGAGGGTGCTTGCAGGCAGCTCAGTGGAGGTGGGAAGGTGTGGGGACCCACGGAGGAGGTCAGGACCCCATCCAGATGAGAGGTGCAGCGGGTGGGAGCCACAGTCCATGCTGCTCACTGGAGGGCAGTGGGGTGAGGGGAGGGAAGCAGGGGTGAGCGGTGGGCAAGGGGAAAGGAAGGGAGCCGAGGTGCCAGCTAGACTGTAGGTGGCACCCAGCAGCTTGTCCTTTCTGGGTCTGAAGGCCGAGGATGAAAGCTGGCCAGAGACACAACTGTGGCCGTTGACAGCAGATGTGACCCTGAGCCCTGGGGTGTGGCAGTGGGCCAGAGGCCCGCAGCAGGGTGATGCTGTGGGCAGTCGGGGCTGCATGTGGGCCAAGGGGAGGGTCTCGGAGGAGGATGCGGGAGAGTGCCGGGAGGCTGGAGACCGCTGAAGACCTGAGCTCCCAGGCCACGTTTCCTCCCAGCCTGCAGGGCCTTCGGGGTCCTGCTCGCGCGGACCGGCCGCCCCTTCCAGGGCGCAGGCAGCAGGTGGCGCTGCCGGGCTTCTCGCCTGGATCGGGAAGAGCTGGGTGGGAGCGGAAGGCCGGCCAGAAGCACTAGTAGGGGCGCCCTTGTCTCGTCCTCGCCCGGCAGGTGTTGCGCACCTGAGGCCTGGGGTGGGGGCACGATGCCCTCGGGCTTGGCGCGTAGCAGGTGCTCACCAAGCCCCCATACGCTCCCGCCCCGGGGCCCGCGAGGGAGCGCGGAGGCGGGGGAACAAAGAGGCAGCGGCGCTTGGAGGCGGGCCGGGTCCTTCCCCGCGCGAGCTCAGCGCCCGCGGGCGACGGCCCTGGGAGCCCGGGACTGGCCCGGCTGTGCGGGGCGGTAGGGCGGGGTCTGCACTCCCAGGAGGGGGACCCCAGGGACTGGAGTGTGAGGCCGACTCCCTGGGAACCCCTACACTGGGCTGACGTCACCGCCCAGCCGGCCAGCCCTACCCTCACCCTTCTGGGCCGCGCCCCTCGTCCCTCCCCCGACTGGCTGTGCAGCCACACCCTTCCCCTGCTAGGCTCCCGGGAGGACCAGGGCACCAGCCACAGGCGGCTGGGAGAGCTGAGGCCCCCGACTGTACCCTCACCCCGTCCTGCGCGGCCCCAAATCCAGTCCCTCCGGGCGTTTCCTGTTAGGGCGGATTCAAGGGGAAGGACCTCATCACCTCCTCTCCACCACCCCCTTCTTTTAGATCTGCTCTAACACCTGGCGCCCAGCTGCCCGCAGCCGACCACCAGCAGGGGCCAGGAGCAGAGGCTGGCTCCTAGGTGCGGGAACCTCAGAAACCGTGATGTACCCATGGGGACCAGGGCGGGGACCAGGGTTGAGATCAGCCGGGGAGGGGGGTGTGTGACTCAGGGAAGGAGCTCTGAGGATCTCTCTTCTCCCTCTGGGCCCACAGGGGGCCTCAGTCCTACAGGCCTCTGGTTGCCTGATTTTGGCCTTGACGTCCACAGCCCGAGATACATGGGACCCCCATCAGCCCAGTATCCTGGGCAGGTGGGCGGTGCCGCTGAGGCTCTGGTAGAGGAAGCAGGTAAAGGCACAGTGAGGTAGCCTCCTTCCTGCCAGGCCTAGTTCCCCATGATCCGGGCCTCTTCGGAGTTGGGGGCCTGGTGGGGGCGGGGCTCCAGGGCCAGGGGCTTGACCCCGGGAAGAGGCAGAGACTGGAGGCATCGGGGCAAGGGGCTGCTCTGCCCTCAGGTCCCCTGGGAGCCACTGGCCCAGAGCCAGGCGAGAGGTGTGGACAGCACTGGTTGCGCTGTTGTCCCGCACACCGCCCCCCAGCTCTGGGCACCGGGCTGGCTAGACTTCACCTTGCTTCCGCAAATGTTTCCAGATGTGAGCTCCCACTGGACAGGTGGGGTGGGCTGAGGCGCTCCAGAAGGGGGCTTTGTTTCCTACCCTGGTGTCAGCACCCAGGCCCTCTGTCCTGCCCGCCTGCCTCCCTCCGGGCCTCCGACCCCCTCCCAGCCCCCTTTCCCTTCCCCCACTTCTATTTCAAACTCTCCTTGGCTTTTTATAGCTACGTCCACCAATTGTGTCAGGCTGAGGCTGGCTTCCGCCTGCCCGATGCCTGTGGTGCCAACACTGCTCTCCTGGGTGGATCTGCTCTGGTGGATCTGGGCAGAGTCTCCAGGGGTCCGTGTGGGGGGGAGCCCTAGGAGCGTATGTGCTGCCAGGAGGTGGGGTGCTCCACTTAATTCAAGGGGGAGATGAGGTAAGGGGCATCTCTGCCTGTTCCCGAATTGCCCCTGGCTGCCCTGGTCTGCTGAGTGGTGTTTGCTCAGAGATGGTGAGAACCAGGTCTGCCCTGGCTCTCCCCAGCCCCTGGCCTGCTGTTCCCCTTGCCCAGGGCCCTAGAAGGCTGGCTCAGTTTTGAAAGGCTGGAGGGAGCTCCCCCAGGGACCTGCCTAGAGCTGGCCAAGCCTGGCTCTGGCGTCACCCTGCCCCGCAGCCTTTGTGTGTTTGGGGTGGGGGCAGGGCAGGAGCACGTTTGTCCTCCTTCGTCCCCCGCCTCCCCTCCCGGCTCTGGGAATGGCCCCTGTCGCAGCCTCGTCCCTCCCTTCTGCCCAAGACTAGCTTTGGTCCCATCCTCGGTCCCTACCAGTCCTCCTTTCCTAAAGCCATACTGCATCCTCAGGGTCTGACCCCTCCTTCAGTAAGACCCTGTGTCTGGAGACTCCCCAGCCCCAGGGCCAGGAGCAGGCCAGAACTGCCTTACTAGTCTAGAAACCCTGCCCCTTGCCAAAAAGGATAAAAGACCGGGGTCTCTCTGGGGTCTCGGCCTGATGAGCCCCCGCTGCCTGGCACCCATGAGAAGTCCTACTGGTATCAGCTCCCCCCCCAACTTGTGTGCCCAGCACCCAGGCCCCTCTTTCTGGAGCAGTGGCACACCAACTCCCCTTGTCCATTCTTCAGGCCCTCGGAGGTTCTGTGGCTTCTCCCCTTCTCAGGACGGACCACTTCTCTGCAGAAGAGATGAAGCCCCAAGCTGTCTTCCAGAGCCACAGAGGGCCGTGTCTCCCTCCCGCTCACTGACCAGAGGCGCTCGGCTCCCGCCTGGCCCTCGTGGGCATAGCCCCACCTCCACCCTCTGCCTGAGCGTGTCCCAGCCTCTCCATGTGCAGCCTGGCCTTCAGAGGCCGAACCACCACCTACAGCCTCCCTGAGAACCGGCCCTCTTGGCTCTTGCCACGCTCTGAGCCTCAGAAACACCTGGACCGCCGCACTCACAGAGGCAGGGTCTGAGCTGCAAGGGCCCTGAGGGGCCTCTGGGGCTGACCCTGACCCTCTGTGCTGCTGGAGAAGCTGGGTCCCCTCCTGGGATCTTGGAGAGGGATGATTGGGTCTCTGCAGTGGTCCAGCTCCAAGGCAGGTGGTTTGTGGTTGTCATTGAACCCTCACTGAGCACCTTCCTTAACCAAGGACAGGATGCCTGTCGTCCAGCAGGGGGATGGATGGGAACATACAGGTGGCGCCGGTGGGAAAGAACCCACCTGCCAATGCAGACGGACTTAAGAGACGCGGGTTCGACCCCTGGGTCAGGAACATACCGTGGAGTAGGGCACGGCAGCCCACTCCAGTGTTCTTGCCCAGAGAACCCCCACAGACAGAGGAGCCTGGCAGGCTGCAGTCCTCAGGGTTGAGCAGAGTCAGACACATTTGAAGTGACTTAGCACGCACACAAGTGTGTGACAGATAGTTCCTACACACCCACCTTCCTTCTCTCCCTCCCTCCCTGCCTTCCTCCCATTTACCCACCCACCATCCATCCATGTACCTCTATTCACCCATCCTCACCTTAATCCCCCACCTGTCCATCCATGTCTCCCTCCCGTCCACTCACCTACCCACCCATGTAGCTACCCATCCAACTGTCCATCCACCCTTGTGCCTGATCGTTAGCTTTTCTGATTGTAAAGGTGGTGCCAGACACTAAGCTTTTGATTGTTGAGGCGTCCATTTCAAAGATATCCATCTGGAATAAATACATCACAGGTTTGATCCCTGGGTCAGGAAGAGCCTCTGCAGGAGGGCATGGCAACTCACTCCAGTATTCTTGCCTGGAGAAAGCCATGGAGGAGGAGCCTGGTGGGCTACAGTCCATGCGGTTGCAGAGTTGGATGTGAGTGAAGTGACTGAGCACGCATGCATGCCAGCTGCACCACTGAAGAGTCAGGCCGTCCTACCCATGAAGGCCCCATGTGGAAAGCCCTGGGTGACCTAGACAACTGTCCCCTTCCCTTAATTCCCACTCATATCTTAATTCACCAATAAAGAGTGAAACTGCAAAACCCTAGGCACCCCACACTTGACCCTGAAAAGAGCAGAACCCCAGGACTGCGCTCTTCTTCTCTCCTTGTGACCTCTTTGTATGACCCCAGGCAGAAATGGCTACCCACTCCAGTATTCTTGCCTAGAGAGCCCCATGGACAGAGGAGACTGGCATGCTACAGTCCACAGGGTCGCAAAAAGTCGGACACGACTGAGCGACTAACACAGGCTTACTGTGTACTTCAGGGCCTGTAATAAACCTTGTTTTTTCAAAGTTCCCTGATAGTGGTTGCTGAGATGTGCGGTGGGCAAATGTTTGCGGGGGTGTCTGCAAGTAGCACCGGCCCAGGTGAGGGCCACAGGCATCCCAGCCCGCAGCATCGCGGTCAGCAGTCTGACGCCAACCGCAAACAACCCCAATGCACCATCTGTCCCCCACCCCAAACCCGTCAAGGGCCTAGAGCCCCTGGTCTGGGGGTGAGGGGTGGCAGGGGCAGACGTGGAAACATAAGCAGAGGGCCCAGAACCTAGGTGACCCGGTGTGGCCAGGACCAGACTGTGGTTGAGAGCAGGCAGAGGCCAGCCCCCAAGGTCCAGATCCGACCACCCTGCCTGCCTGTTCAGTGCTGGGCCGGCTGACCCCTGGGAGCCGGGGGGTTGGAGTCTTGCCCTGGCCCCAGGGGCCCTGATGATCTCCCGTCTTCCTACAGAGTTGGGGTGGGGAAGCGCCACTGCGCCGCTGCAAACAACCGTCAGCTTTTTCCAGTCCTCCTCTTTATTGACTCCAAGGGGCTGCCAGAGCTATAAATAGATGTTCTTGAGCTAAAAATAGCCTTGCCAGAGGACAGCCAATGCTTCTAGCTTTTGGCCTCTTTGAGGACTGTTAAGGATGCAGGATTCAAGGACCTTACCTCCTACCGAAGACCCGGATGAGGGGCCCGCCTAGCTTTCTCCTGCTTCCTGAAACACACATACACCACACAAGTGTGTGTGCTCACATGCATGCACGTGTGCTCATGTGTACACGGTGTGTGTGGTCACCCACACTTGCACAGACACAGGTCTGGCTGGTGTCACTGGTTAGGCTACCTGCCTGCTCAGAAAGCGGGGGAGGGTCCCCAGGATAGGCTGGTCAAGCCGCCAGGAAGGGTCAGACCCCCCAGTGGAGACCTCGCGCCACATTAGCCAGAGGACGGCAGGGCAGAGGGCACAGATCTGCCGGGAACACTGCCCGGAGACTCCCGAGATGAGGTTCCCAGGAAATTCAGGGAGTGGTGCCTGGCACATCACAGGGGCCGTTGTTATAGTAACGGCTGGGCAAACTTTGGAGGGAGCCAGGGGAGTCAGGGCCAGAATGTGTCCCAGGAGACACCGCGGGGATGCTCAGCACTGCAGCGTGGGCGGAGGACGCTCGCCGGCGGCTCGGGGGACACTGACACTGCAGCCCGGCCTCCCCGGCAGGGAGGGAGAAAGGCCTGCAGGGGGCGCTGGCTCCAGGGAGAGGAGCCCCGGGGCTGGAGACACAGAGGGTGCTTCCCACCAGGTATCCTCTGGGCCTTGCACGTTCAGTAAAGAATTTAAACAACGCCCTAAAAGCTAGATGCAGACGCTCTGTAGAGCTGGACCCCCATTTCTGTTGAAAAGGAAGAGCTGTTGTGTGGTAGGTACATGCGTGCACTCACATGGAGGCCTGCAGGGAGACGTGGAACTTCTCCCAGCAGTTTTCTGGAGAGGGGGGTGGGGGGAGCTGAAGGATGAAACTGAGATTCCCTTTTTATATAGTTCTACGTTATTTAAATTCTCAGTAGCTTGAAACAGCAAAAAAAGGGCTGTTCTACATCCTACATCTGCCCCTCCCCGCTCCCATCCCTGCCCCCTGGGTTTAGGGTTCTGGGTTCAGAGCCATGAGTCGGAGGCAGTCTGGCTTTCCAAGCCTCATACCCCCGCCTCCTGGCCCCAGGAAGCCCCTCCACACCATCTCCCACCAGCCTGAAGAAAGAGGCAGCCAGACGCATGGAGAAAACACCCATCTCAGGATTTATTACAACACGTTGTTTCCAAATACAAAAGAAGGGGACAGGACAGGGAGCAGAGAGCGGCCGCGCTGGGGGAGGGGGCAGCGAGGAGGGGCGGGCAGGTGGGTGGGCAGCCCAGTCCAGAGGGACCGGGAGCCGTGCGGGGGGACCTGCCACCTCTCCTCCGCTGGACTTTCCAGCAAATAATAGGAGGGGGCCAGGTCCATTCTGGGGATCCCGTGCCAGGGCACTGGGCCAGCAGGAGGGGGAGGACCCCACTCCGCCCCCCCCCAGGGAGTGGGTAGGACTGACCAGGGAGGGGCTCTTGACTGGTGCCTGGTGCCCCCTGCCACACGGAGAGAGGCTGGGCTGGGGGGCTGAGACAGGGACTTCTCCCTTCATAACGACTCACTTCAGCCAGTGTCTCAAGAGCAAAAGCCCCCATGTGCCCCAGGCCAGCAGCCTGGAGAAGGAAGGAGAGAGGGGAACGGGCCGTGGGACCTGCCCCCAGGGTTGTGGGGCTCAACCAGTGGCCCCCACCACTGTCTCCTGGACAGCACAGGCGTGGGGCGCGGAGGGGGAACCAGTGCATCCTCCACACCCAGGGTCACCTCAGAAACCCAACGCGATAGACAGACAGGAGGCAGATTTACATAATCAATAATAATAATAATAATAATAATAATTAACCAATAATAATAAATACTTAAACCTCTAATCCATAGATTGCAAATACAACAATGATAGCTTATTTTCTTGGGGGAATGGGGTGGGGACAGAGGAACAGGAACAGGACTTTTGCTCAAAGGAGGTTTGACGGGACAGGAGCTGGGGTCAAAAGAACAAACAGAATAAACAGCTGGAGGGCAGCTGGGGGCAGGCAACCCCCGCCCACCTGCCCAAGGACTCAGTCCTGCCCAGGCCACCCCTCCGGCCAAGCCTTGGCCTCTTCCCAAGGTGACCAGCATCCACTCCTGGATGCTGCAGGACATCTGAAGGTCGGGGGACACCCACTCCTGCCGCCAAAAGCCTTGGGTCCCCTTTACCCCAGATGGTGGGGGGCGAGGATAGCTGGGGCTTTTCTCCTGCCCTCACCCCCAGGCTGGCCCACCTGGGCCAAAAAGCTAATGGGGGTTGGGGACTGGCAACCTCGAATATACCAGGGAGACTTGGGAGGGGAGTGCTCCACAGGAGTGGGGTGTACGGGGTTTTTCTCCTCCGACAGCCCTATGGGGGCTGGCAGACATGGGGGACACCTCCAGCATCTGCTCACATGAGGGGTCTTTAGCTGGAGGGGGCTCTCCCAAGCGAAGGAAGGCGTCTACACCCACACCACCCCCCCACCAGAGGCATGAGGTGCCTCCTCTGAGAGGCCCCTCGACCCGCAGAACAAGACCCTGGATCTATCTGCCCTCTGACCAGTGGAGCCAGTACTGGCTGGCCCAGCTATTCCCACTGCCCCCCAGGGGCCAAGTTCCCCCTCTGTTGGCTCCCCACCTGGCAGCTGGCGCTGGGGGGAGGGGGGCCACAAAGTGGAGGAGAGGGTAGCAGCCTCCTCGGAACACGTGAAGCTGGACCCAGGCTCAGACGGGAGTGGAAGTGTTCCACCTCCACCCCTGCCCTGGGGTCCCATGTCCCCTCACACTCAGAGCCCCCTTCTCTGCACTGCTACCCTCTTCTGGACCCCACTCTGACCCCCCAACACCTGGCAGGTAACAGGCTAGGGGGATGGGTGGCAGAGGCGCCCTCGGTGGCACTGAGGCTTGGTGCCTGGACGGGCAGGGGGCTGTGAGCGCCTCCTGGGGGGGGCCCCGGCTCCCAGGACACCCCCTCCCACCTATGGCTTTGGTGAGGAGCCAGGAGAGGAGCAGAGAAGGGAGGGGCAGGAGAGGACGCAGCAGGAGGGCAGGGAGGCTCCGCGGCTCAGTCTGCGGCAAAGGTTTTTATCCTTTTTTCCCCTTTTCTTATGTAAAAAGTGCACGAAAGCTCAGCAGCCTCTTTGCAATGGTCAGCAGTGTTTCCTGGGGGAGGGGGCGGGGAAACCCCAGGCCTGGCACCCCAGCTTGCAACTGAAGGTGGCCTCATATTGCTTAGAAACGTGGGTTTCAGTTTAAATACCAGACAGTAAAAATAGAGCTCCGAGGACCGCCCGCATTGTTGCCAAATCATTGCCAGAATGAACAGCTTAAATAAATAAAAAATTGAAATATTTACTTCTCGATAAAAATCGCAGTAAAACCATTTACCTTTCTTTGCATTATATATAATATATATTTATATCGGGCCCAGCCGAGGGCAGCCAAGGGCTCGGGGCGCCGCGTCTCCGCGGAGAGGCCGCTCCGGCCGCGGTCAGGATACCTCGATGACCTCCACGCTGCCCGAGAAGCTGGCCTGCTTGCCCAGCGCGGCCAGCTCCTCGCCGCGCGCGCGCCCCTCCACCATGCCCTCCTCGAACTCCATTTGGCAGCTCCGGCGCTTAAACTGCGTCTCGGGGGCGGGCTCGTCGGGCCAGCCGGTCCTCGAGTCCCGGGCCTCGGGCCTCGCCGCCTCCCGCCGCCGCAGGTCGCCGTTGCCCGCGCTTGGCCCCCCGGCCCGGCCGAAGGGTGCGAACCGCGAGCCGCCCACGCCCTGCGCGCCCTCGGGGCTGCAGCACCAAGGCCCGTCGGGGGAGGGCGTGCCTGGGGAGTCGAGCGGCGGCGCCCAGCCCCCAGGGCCGGCCGGCTGACCAGGGCCGGGCAGCCCGGGCGCCGACAGGGCCGAGAGGCCGTGCCGCGGAGTCTGCCGGGTGGCGTCGCCGAAGTTCAGGCCAAGGCCGTGAGCCGGGGAGCGCGCCGGGGAGCCTGCTGGGGGCCGGGGCCGCCGGCGGGGCCGGGGGCGAGGCTCGGGCGCCGCGTCCGGGCTGTCGGGGCTGGGGGAGGGAAGGCCCAATGTGCCCCCGGACGGGCTGTCCAGTTTGCAGAGCTTGGGGGCCTCTCCTGGGTCCAAGGGCCCGGGGTCATCGGGCCGCCGGCTCGGGGTGTAGGCCGACTTGATGTCCAGGGAGAAGGAGCGCTTGAGGCGGTTGGTGTCCTGGAGGCGGTCGGAGGAGAGGTGCAGGCCGCGCAGGCCCTGCTGCAGCGCGCTGGTGGCCGGGGCGGGGCCGGGGGTCCCCGCACCCCCCGTCTGTGCAGCCTCCCTGGAGGCGGCGGCCGCGGCGCTCCCGGTGGCGGCACTCTCTGAGGTAGGTGGTGGCGGCGGCGGCGGCAGTGGGGCGGCAGGGCCCGGCAGGGGCTCCGGGGTCCCGGGGTGCGACGCCCCGTCACCTTGCAGGGCGGCCAGCAGCTTCAGGCTGCGCTCGTACTCCAGCAGCTGGCCCAGAAAATTGAAGTTGGGCGAGATGGACGGGCGCCGGTCCTTCACGAACCTGGGGAAGAGCCGCGGGATGCGGGCAGGGCTCCGGCTGGGCCAGGCGCAGCTCCCCAGGCTCGCCCCCGTCCCCAGTGCCCACTCGGGGGCACCTAGCTGCTGGGCAGACCCCGGTGGGCCGGGGCTGGGCTCAGGCCCGCTCCCCGCCGAGAACCGTGGCTCCGTGGCAGAGAAGGTGGAGGGGGCGGGGCGAGGGGTGGAGGGGGCGGGGCTACCTGTAGGCGTCGTCCGAGGACATCCCCATGGTCTTCATGATGTAGGCGATGGCGATGGTGGCAGAGCGGGAGATGCCGGCCAGACAGTGGACGATGACTTGGCAGCTGGACAACTTGGCTTTATCTGGGGGCAGGGGTCCACGTGAGGGCTGGGGCCCGCACAGCCCTTCCCTTCCCCCAGGTGTCTCCCGCCCTCTCCTGCCTCCTGCCTTCCAGCCCTCCCCGGGCCTGGGCGAGAGGGTGCCGGCCACCTCACCGATGAACTCGATGGACTTGTCCAGCCAGGGCAGCAGCTTTTCACAGTAGTTGTCGTTGATGGGAATGCGCAGGAAACGGCTCTCGCAGATGAAGTCGGGCTTGGGGCAGGAGTTGCTGGCGTTGAGGACGTAGCTTATTCCGTTTTGGGTCATCAGATCCTGGGAGGGTAGGGAACAGGGTGGAAGCTGGTGCAGAGCTGGGCAGGAGGCTGAAAACGTATGCCCTGGAAGCGGGGCCGGCTCCTGGGGCCTTAGAATCTGGTTCCTGGAGCACCCCCCCCCGACCCCCCACTGCAGAGCTTGCAAGCCCCCCGCTAGGTGGAGAGGGGTGGGGGGCCCGCCCCTGCGAGGCCCGCCACAGCCTGTGTCCAGCTCCCAGGAATTTTAAGGCTGTGCTGCCTGGGCGGGGGCTTTACCCTCTTTCCGCGTCACCATTTTTAAAACACGGGGTTCTTTCAGGGCTGGCCAAGGGCCCAGTGACATCAGCAGTCTGGCATGTAGGCTGCAGAGCCAGAGGGGCAGGGAGCCACCTCTGCCCAGCCCTGCCAGGCGCTGCCTCCCTGGTCCTGCCAGGACCTCTGGGGTCCTCCTGCGCCCCCAGCCTGTGAAGCCATAGGCAGGTTCACACCCGGGCGTATCTACCCCCACATCAACGGTCAGCTCCCAACCCACCTCCGCCACCCCAGCCCAGGAGCGGCTGCGGGCTCCAGCTGCACACGCACCTTGTTCAGGACATCCTTCTGGGAGCCCAGGTAGAGGTGAGGCAGGATGCGGGTCAGGCCCACGCTGGGCACAGGGAGACAGGGCTGGGAGAGGCTCATGGGAAGCAGGGTAGCAGGCTTGCCCTCGCAGAGGCCGGGGAAGCAGGAGGAGAAGGTGGCAAAGCCCCCTGCAGGCAGACAGATGAGATGCGTGTCAGGGGGTGGGCTGGCTGGGGAAGGAGAGCGGCCTGCCCAGCCTCCCCCTGCCCAGACCCCCAGCAAGCCCCTGGCTGGAGCACCTGATCTCGGTGCTGGTCCTGGAGGGCGCCAGGCTGGCACGCTCCCGTGACCTGCCCCTGGGTCCACATTCCTCCTCACGCCAATCAGGGGCTGGCCTCCCTCAGGACGCCGCTGTGATGCCCATAAAAGTGGAGGCCGCAAAAAATGACCAGGCAGCACGCAGCACGTGCGCGGCCCAGGCATGGGCAGGTTCAGAGGCCACAGGGGTCTTCACGCTGTGGCATGGGGCCAGGCTGGGCCTGCCCGCCTCTCCCCCAGGGCTGATGCAATCCCTCCAGTTGGCCGGGAGCCCCAGGCCAGGCTCGGATGCCAGGACAGAGAGGCAAGGGCTTCTGAGGGCCCCTCCCGCTCCCGCTGTCCCGGGCATGACATCACTCTCTGGAGCTGGCATAGCCCACAGGGGCATGTGTGCTTGGGTTACGCCTCCATTCCACCCAGCAGGGGACGACAGAGGAGCAGAGGCTGGGCTGAGAGGGGAGCGCTGGGGACCGGAGCACGTGGGCCACACGCTCTACACGTGGCCAGTGTGTGTCCTGCCTCCTTGCCCGCATGTGTGCGCTGGACCACACATGGGCAGGAGCCCCTCCGCTGGTTAGGAAGGGGCTGAGGGGGACCCACGGGCACACATCTGACTCAGTGAGTGACCTCGGGCTTGGGTGTCCTGGTCCTGCCTGCCCCAGACACTGTGCTGAGGTCCATGGAGTGGATAAGCAAACAACCAGGTCACGGTCGACCGTCTCCAGAGGAGGCAGAGGGGTGAGGCGGGGGCCCGCAGACGCAGCTGGGGCCAGCCCTGGCTGATTCCTGAGGCCAGAGATGACTGGTGACCTTGCTCTTCACCCCGACCCAGCTCAGCGAAACCAGAGTGCCTGTCTCATGCACTCCCGGTGCCCCTAACAAAGGCTGGACTTTGGGGGACCACGACCTCCAGGCTAGGGGCATGGAGGTATCAGCCTTGGAGGGGAGTCTGCTGGCTGGACAGGGAGAAGCAGGTGGCAGTGGCACCAGCACTGCTGCTCAGGTCCCCCCAGGGGAGACTGGGCCGGGCCCCAGCTCACTGTCCAGAGCCAGGGATCCCTGGCTGCTGGGACTGGGGGACAGTGCCCGCGAGGGAGGGGCGGGGGGGGCTGCACCATCTCTCTGAAGACCCTTCTCTGCCAGTTCCTTTCCTCTGCTCTCTCAGCAGCAAAGACAGGCAAGTGTGTGGGGTGGAGAATTCCACCAGGAACCCCCTCTTCCTAAGGAGGGGCAGAGATCTGCCAGCCTTTGCTGCAATTTCTGGAACCCCCAAGAACTCCCTCCAGGCAGAGTCAGGCAGCTTGGAGTGCTCCCGATAGACTCCACTCCTCCCATGATTTCAGGACACCCCAGGGCCTGGGAATGGGTGATACGGGAGGGGCAGCATCCCTGCCAGCAGCCCTGGACCCTCTGTCCGCCACTCCCCCGGGCGCAGCCCTCTCAGGACCTGGGGAGGCACCCATATCTCCCAAGGCTCTCCAGGGAAGCCTTCTTCTGTAGGGTACCCCCACCCCCGCCCCCTGCCCTCACCACCATGCCTTGCAGGTCAGGGGACGCGTGTCCCAGGAGGCATTCCTGGCCCATCCACCTCTCTCACTGAGCATTCCGGTGCGGATGGGGCTCGGCCCCAGATGAGGGGGGCGCGCCCGGGAGCCCCGCTGCCCGCCGCAGTCCGGGGTTGGGGCTGCACCCGCCCTCCGCGGGCCACAGTCTGCGGCCAGTCCGAGGGCGGCGCGCAGGGGCTGGGCGGCCCGCGGCGACCACACTGGCCCGCATTCCGCAGGGCCGCGCACTTTCCCATCCCCGCCAGGTGTCACGGCAGCCGTGCGGGAGGGGCGCGGCGTGGTCTCAGCACAGGCTCCAGACCCCAGTGTGGCCCGTGTCCACCGCCCACTCTCGCAAAGCGCCCACCCTGGAATTCCCTTCTCCCTGGCTGTGCCGCGCGTCTCCCTGGCACCCCTCTGCCCACCCACGGAGGGGGTCTGTCCTTCCTGCGGGCATCTGCCAGCCCGCGCCATGTGCCTAGCTCACTGGGCCGACGGCCTGCCTCTGACTCCTTGGCCCTGCCCTTCTCCAGGGCTCGGGCGGGCGCTGCCCCCAGCCTGGGCCCTCCTCACAGGGTCATGGCTGCTCCCTGGCGTGGTCCTCAGAGAAACGGGGGGGACCCTCTAACCCTGGGGCGGGGCACTGCCAGGTCTCAGGGGACTCCCCCCCCCCCACCGGGGACAGACCAGTAGGGGCTCTGGCCCGCCCAGGAGTAAGGGGGGGGCGCGCCGCTCCGGGACCCTCTTCTGAAACGTCCCGGAGGGCCTCTGGTGTCATTTGCAGCAAGGACACACACGCGTGTGCATGCACACACAGGGGCTCCCTGGGGGACTGCGGGCAGACCGTGACACCTGTGACAGCCCCCACCGCTGGGCCCACACAGCCCCAGGGCACATCAGCTGTGTCAGCTCTGCAGCTCTGCGCCTTCTGGTTCCCAGAGCTCACACACGTGCGTGCGCACACACACACACACACACCCTATCCACACATGGAGGGCACAACACATGCTCACGGGACCCCTCCTCTGAGGGGTCTGCCCGGAGCCCTGGCTCCTGCAGCTGGAAGAGCGGGCTGCAGCCCCTCGCCTCACAGGAGGGCCGGCCTGGTGGCCCCCACACCCGCTGTGCTCAGCTGGTGTTCCGGGCGGGTGTCAGAATGAAGAGGGGCACCCTGGCAGCCATGTGATGGTGGGGGTGATGCCAATGTGGGCCCTCCACCCACCCCCTTCTGCTGCAGCCCAGGGCACCCAGGCAGGGAGGTCATACATCCTGGAGGACAGGCCCTGGGCCGCCTGGGGAGGGGGCTGGCCAGCCTGATCTGGGGGAATGGAAGCCCGGTGGGCACCTCCACCGGCTGGGCAGACAGCGGTGGTGATCAAGTAGGCGGTGGCTAGGGTTCCTGTGCCAGCTGGAGCATTCAGAGGACCCCTCTCAGTGGGGGACCAATTCCAGCTCACACTGGGGTTTCCCTAGGGTGGGGCCTACGCCTCCTCCCTCAGACAGTGTGTGTGTGTGTGTGTGTGTGTGTGTGTGTGTGTGTGTGTGTGTGTGTGTGTGTGTGTGTGTGTGTGTGTGTGTGTGTGTGTGTGTGTGTGTGTGTGTGTGTGTGTGTGTGTGTGTGCGCGCGCGCGCGCACATGTGTGTGTGAGGGGGGCAGCTTCCAAGGCACACCAGGTCTTTGCCTAGATCCCTCCCCACCTCCCCTGCCTCAGGCCTATGTGGGGATTTCCCACTGTCCGTGTCTCACCTGCTAGTGCTGGGCCTGGGCCCACACTGGAGGGGGGATCTGAAGTGTGGGGGCCCGGGGGAGGGGGTCGGCAGAGTCCCTGAGAACTCAGAGCTCCAGAGCGTCGCCCCTACCGCCCCAGCAGACTCTGGGCTTAGAGAGGAGAGCTGAGGCCAATCCGGAACGTGACCCTTTGGACAGCGGCACCCCCCCACCCCACGCCCTACTGCCAGCCAGGGAGAGAGGCCCTCGGGAAGGCACCTGTGAGGATAGCCACGCTGTCGAAGCAGCCATCAAGCTTGCTGAGCAGGATGGACAGGAAGCTGTCTGCAGCCAGCACGCTGGCGTCCCGGGTGCTCTGGTCGTAGACCACCACGTCCTGAGGCTCCGCGGCCTCCACCTGGGCAGAGGGCAGAGGTCAGGGGGGCCAGGCACCCGCCAGTCACCATATCCCCTGCCGCCTCCACTGCTGCTGGTCAGGCGGTGGACAGGGGGGCCCTGTACCTGAGGTGCCCCAAGGGCCGGGAGGGCCGGCGCCCAGCCGCGTGTACACCTGGACAGCTGTGAACCTGCGGCCACAGGGCAGCCCCCCCGGAGCAGGGAGGGGCGGGGGACACACCCCCCGGGGGCCTGGCCCCTGTGGAGGAGACGCGGGACAGGCGTGAGTTCCCGGAAGCGCATGCAGGCACCCTGACCTCCGGGGCACGGGGAGGCCAGGCTGGCTCCCAGGGAGGCCCACTCCGGGGACTCTGAAGGCTGGGTGGAGGGACCTCTGGGTCTGGCTCTCCTACCATCCCTGGCCAGTGATGGGGCCACCGGGGGCTGCAGCAGGCCCTCCTCGCCCCCAGCCATCCCGGCAGCAGCCGTGGAAAGCTGAAGCCCACCAGCCCTCCCCTCTCCACTGCCGGCCGGGGTGGAGGGGGGGCCCAGATGTGCAGCCACTGGGCTCGGAGCAGCTGGTGGCCCCCCCCCACACTCAGCCCTTAAGCCTGCTGAGCTGCTGGCCCTGGGCCGATGATGTCACCGACAGCCAATGGGAGAGCATTCTGGCCTAACGCTTGCTGGGGGTTATTCATCACCGGATTCTCCTCCCTGGAGGCCGCAGGGGACTCCCGTCTGGCTGCTCTCACACCCCAGCCCTGCCCTGAGCAGGGCTGGTGACCAAGACCCCTCCCTGAGCCTCTGGGGCTGCCTGGCAAGCCACACCTCCCCAACACGGCCTTCTGGAGTCACAGTCCAACATGGGCTCGATGCCCCTGGGGAACAGAGACAACTGGTGACTGCAGGTGACCAGAGACGGTCTTGCGGGTCTCAGAGAGGATTCCTGGTCCTCAAGACTCCAGGAGGGAAAGACCGGGGGCTGGATGCCCCTGTGTCTGTGTGAGCCCCCCAGCTGCCCATCCAGTCCTCCCGAGTCTTCAGGGTGGTCAGAGTGGGCCTGGCCGCCTGCCCCTTGCTGCCTATCCTTCTCCCATGTCCCCCACCCCCATCCACCGCCCGTGCGCAGCCACATCGCACAGCTGGGCCCTGCATGGAGGCCTCCATGTGGGGCTGAGTGGGGACGCGGGCAGGGTCAGTGGCTTTGCGGGGAGGGCGTGAAGCCGGTAGGAGGGTGTTGAGTCTGTCAGCAGAGGGTCGCCCTGGGGAGGAGCGCTCTTGTAGTCCTCAGGTGGAGAGGGGTGCTGCCCGCCAATGGCTCAGAATCTGACCCCGAGGAGCACAGGGCAGCTTCAAGGGCTGGAAAAGGGAAGGCAGCCCAGCCCTGGCTCCCGGAGGGCCCGATGCGGTGGGCAGCCCGAGTACCTGGCTGCGGGCGGCAGGCTGGATCAGATCAGCGATGGTCACCTTGTCCTGCTGCAGCCGCCGCTTCACCAGCTTGGAGCAGCAAATGTTGACGGAGCTGAGCACGTGCCAGCTATTGTACTCCACGAAGGAGCGGCTGTCGATGACCAGCGGGCCCCCGGGCCCGCCCCGCAGCAGGCTGGCCAGCCTCTTGGCGTCCATCACCTTCCGTGGGAGCCGGTCCCCGGCCATGGCGTGGCAGTGGGCAGTGGGGAGGGGCGACCCCGGGAGTGGGCAGGGGCAGCTCCAACGGCCTGAGTTTGGCCTATGGTTTGGAGTGCCCGGGCATGGCGCCAGACCTGCAGGGAGAGGTGGACGGTCACAGGTGCCGCGGGCCCCCGGGGCCTCAGAGGGGCTGGCGCATGTGGGGCTGACATGTGCCCACAGGGAGGGCTCTCGCCCCTGGGGCTCCTTCGTGGAGAAGCTCCCTAACCCCGCTGCTCTCCCGCTGGAGTCTGTGACCCCGGGAAGGGTGCTCGGGAGTGGCCTCTCCAGTCCTGCACCCCCCAGGTCACAGCACCAGCCTCTCAGCAGGACGTGGCAAGGTGAGTGGAGACCACAGAAGGCAGGGCCATGGGACTCAGGCAGGACGAGGCCCAAGGGTCCCTCCCCCGGGCCCAGGACCCCCGGACACTCACCCCTCCCAGAGTACCCCCTTCTGCCTGTCCCATCTTGGGGATGCAGGTCTCTCCCCGCCGCCCGCCCCCTCCCGCCCACTGGCTCCGTAAGCCGATCATTCGGATGGGGTGGAGGGCGGGGCCCCGACTAGCTGGGAGCTCCACGTCCCAGTTCTGCAGGTCAGGGTTCAGGCGCACAGGGGGCCAGCCTCCTTCTCCTGCAGGGCTGGGTCACACACTTAAGGAATGGGGGAGACAGCACAGCGGGGCACCCCAGACACAGCAGTGCCCTGGGGTCAAGGAGGCCCCTTTGGGGGCCTGGTGGGTCCAAGGATTGTGGTGCGGTGGGGGGCACCCAAGGACAGGGGTCAGCGGTGAGTGTGGGTGACTGTGTGTAGGACCCTCGGGCTCAGGGGTGCCTGGAGGGAGTGGGAGGTGGGTGGGATGTGAGGCACCAGAGTCTGGGCGGAAATCCCTCTGATTTGGTGCCAAGCCTCTGCCACCACTGGCCCACCTGCCAGGACTGGCCTTTCTCAGCGCCTCCCACCTCCCAGGCCTCACAGCGCCCAGGGAGGCATGCATCTTCAGGATGTTGCTCGAAAGCTGGGGAAACTGAGGCCTGGGGGAGGGGTGGGATCAACCCAAGGTCACATCAAGGACACTGGACAGAACCGGGCCCACGGCTGCCCTGTTCACCCGGGGTCTTTCCTCTGCCAGCTTGGGGGCGGGGAGGCTGGGAGACAGACTCCCCCACAGGCCCAGCGAGTGAACTCCCTCGGGAAGCCCCCAGGCTGCAGCCACAGAGGGTGCTGGGGTGGGGCACTTGGGGACGCGCCTCACCTTTCAGGGAGCACTGACGGCCCTGGGCACAGTGGCCACCGTCTCTGTGCCAGCCCTTGGGGTGAGCTCCCAGGCCGGCGAGGGGGTGGCGGAGGTCACAGAGGAGTAGGTGCAAGGCAGGTGGGGACCGGCCCGCCTGGCATGGGCAGCCCAGGGCTGGGCCACTGGAGCTGGTGCCAAGGGGTCCTGCTCACAGGCGCTGCTCCTCCGGTGCTTGGGCGCCTCGATGGTGGGGGCAGGGTCTGGGCTGCAGACGGGGCCCTGCCCTTCTGAGGGCCACGCCAAGACGGTTCTGCCTGCTGAGGGGCCCTGCCTGCTCTGAGGCCTCTGTCCGCATGTCCAGGGGTCCCCAACTTGACTCCTGTGCGAGCGGTTTTGAGAGTTCTCAAAACCTGAGTTTCCTGAGTTCTCACCTGACTCCCATCAAGGATGGGACAGGCCCCGCCTCCAGGTCCCCCTGACCTACCTGGGCAGAGCCTCCCACTGTGGGGTGTGGGACCTGCGTCCAGTCCAGAGGCTCAGGACCCCGGCCAGGAGGCCGTGGGCTGGGGACACCATGGGCAGAGTGCCCTCCCACAGGGGGAGGCGGGGCGGTGGCGGAGGCCTTTGCTGCTCTGCGTCCGGCAGGCTGGCCCCTGCCCTCCGGTCCTTACACGGCCGGACAGGTGTGGAGGGGTGCCCACTGCATGGAGGGGAAAGGAGCCTGGCGGAGGGGCTGGGAGGCGAGGCGAGGCCCGAGACCCATGGAGGAGGGGCGGAGGGGCTGGAGGGGTGGAGGGCTGGATCGCGGGTCCACCTGGTACCTGGTCCCCACCCCGGGCTCCTGAGGAGCCTCGGCTTGGCCCTATTAACCACTGTAGTATTGTTATTCGCAGCTGAGGGGGACTCATTAGCAAGTTGGCACCTCCGTTGTTGCCATGGCAACAACAGGGGAGCCAGGCAACCGCTGCTCCTGCGGCAGCGGGCGGAGCTGCAGAGCCAGGTCCTCTCCTCACCCGCTCCCCGCGACCGCCCTCAGGTGCCCACCCCAGCCCGGCCAGCCCGGCCTCGCCGGCCCCACCCGGTCCTGACCCTCCTGTCACCTCCCACATGCACAGGCTCACTCTCCCATCCCCGGGAGCCCCGCCCTTCCTGGGCTAGACCCCCTGCACCGTGCCGGCCCCCCGGGCGGGCACCTGGCCCCCAGGCCCTCCTTGGGCATACCCCTCACCTCCCCAGCTGCGACATGAGACCAAGGCACAGAGCTGGGCAGAGCAGGGAAGGGGGAGATGCTGCAATAGGCCGGGGTGGGGGGGGCGCAGAGGAAACAGACGCGGAAGGGGCTTGGGCCTCCCCGCTTTTAAGGACCCTCTGCAGGCTCAGTCGAGACCCCTCCCCTGGGGAGGGAGCACCCAGAGCCTAGGTCAGCTGGGAGCCTGAGTCAGCCCCACCAGAGGGCGGTAGCCGAGAAGACAGTGGGTCCCAGGCCAGAAGCAGGAGGAGCCCCTACCCTTCCCGCCTGCCCCTGGGAGGCCACCGGCACCGCCTCCTCACTTTCCTGGGGGAGGCTGGGTACACGGCGCTGCCTGGCCCTCATGTGAAATACAGGCTGGACACAGCCCTTTGCATACTGGCCACACTCAGGGCTCGGTACATACCCTGTTCCCACAACCCATCCCAGCCCTGCGTGCCATGATTCACATGACAATGTGTGTGCGCGTTCATGTGGTCGCTGCACGCATGCGTCCTCACCTTCTGCACACGAGTGCCCTGAGATCCCAGCACGCCCCAGCCCCAGAGGCAACCACAGCCTCTCCTCACCGGCTCCCATGGCCTCCAAGAGGGACATCCGTATCCCTCAGCACGTGTATGACCAGAAAACTCCAAACTAGGGGCATCCTCACCCGGGCACTTTGTGCTCAGCATCGGGGGAATGCAGGACCCCCAGAGACAGGCAGGCAGAGACCGTGGCCACCACTCAGCATGGCTCCAGCCTGGCGGAGCCCAGCCACAAAGGCAGGCCTCAGGCAGAGCTGGCGGCGGATGGACCCCGGGTGCTGGCTCCCTCTGACCCTGGGGCAGGCTTGGAGGCAGAAACTGCTACCCTCAGGAAGCCAGGAGAGAGGCTGGCAGGGGGTGACCTCTCACAGGCAGGTGGCCCACGTGCTCACCTGGTTTGTTCTCTGCACGACCCGCCCCCCCCAGCTCTCTGAGATGATTGGCATAGGACCCAAGCTGCGTCTACCTTGTCCTGGCTGCTATTGGCAAGGCCAGGCAGAGCCAGCCTGACCTGGGGAGGGTATGGACTTGGGAGACAGTGGGGTGGGAATCTACCCTCAGTGCCCAGGGGTTGGGGCTGAACTGGGACGGAGGGCTTGGCACAAGTGTCCTCGGGGAGGCAGGCTCAGGACGCACCAGTCTCGGCTTCCTCTGTTCCTGCCTGGCTGGTTTTAGCCCCGTTAATCTGCAGGACTTCACTGGGCACCCCTCCCCCATGCTACCTGCCTGGGCCAGCATCTACTGGTCACTGTCTGAGGGTTCAGGCAGAGGGGGCCTCTGCCTGTGTGTTCCAACAGTCAGAGCCCGAGCCTTATCACTCTTGCTGTGGGCTCGCCCCTTCCTCTCCTCTCCCTGGGAGCTAGACATCTAGAAGACAGGCAGACAACCTCCGCTTCTTCCACCCCCGGCCCACGACCCTCCCCCCCCCCCCCCCCCCGAGCTCTCTGTCTGGTTGCAGGTTCTGGGCCTCAAGGTCAGCTTCAGCCTAGAGGAGAGGTGATGCTGGGAAGGGTCCTGGTGCAGAAAGGGGCTTCAAACATCTTTCTGCATCTCTGTGCCTGGAACCCGCCCTTTCCAGAGGCAACCTCTGGGACCCAGGAAGCTTCCCGAGGGCAGCAGGGGACTAGAACCTGCCTAGCAACTCTCCCAGGGCCCTAGGCTGACTACAGCAGGAGGTATTTCAGTTAGACTTCAGGACGAACTCCCGGTCCGTGGTCACATGCTGGCTATCTTTGGTGGATGCTTATCAACCATCTGAGGAGCAAATACCAGGGACACCTGCCCTCTTGGGGCAGGACAGGGGTGCTGGATGCTACCTGCATTCCCTGGGCTGCCATGGGAGCAAGGAGGACTCGGGAGATGCTGGGAACGGACAGCCTCTCAGACCTCCACAGACCCCCAGGAGCAGAGGGCACAAAGCAGGAAGAACCTTCCTCCCCTACACCAAGCTGCACAAGAAAACTGCAGACTGCACACTCCATCCGCCACCTTTCTCCTCCATCCTACGGAGGCCGCCCACCCCCCACCCCATCACCGCAATGCCCAGGCCCCAACGCTCCCCCTCGAAAAGTCAGTACATTTTTTGCAGCAGGAAATCAGAGGGTAAATTCTCCCAGAAGGGATGACCTCGTGCGGGCTGGGCCCATTTCTGCCCCTTCCCCTCCAGGCCAGGCTATTACATACCCCTCACCAGAAGGTGGGCGCACAGCCTGAAGGAGGCTGGTTGCACTCAGCCTGGCAGTGCCAGCCCCTCCCCCAGCACCCGCCGCGTCTGCAGCAGGCTGGCGGCTGGCCTTTATTCCGCAGAGGCCAGCTGAGCTCCCCGAGGTGGGGGTGCCCATCGCAGCCTGGCAAGACAGGGGAGAAGGCCAGACACGGAGCGAGTCTCTCCTGAGGCTGCCACCCGCCAAACACCCACAAACGGCCCAGGGCGCCGCATCTCCGCGCCCGGTGGTGGAAAGGACGATCCTCTCCAAT